TGGTTAGCTTTGAAGAAGACCGGCGAGCATCAAAGTTTGTGCACGGTTACTATCAGGGTGAAGAGAAGGAGACACGGCAGCGTCGCTCACGCCAACCTGAGATGAGCGACCATGGCTGCATACACTTGAATAATTCAAAGCAGCCAAGGGTATCCAGCCGTACAAAGTGATACACTCCTATTTTGTGACCAGCACATCGACCGAAGCACGCGTAAGAAAGGTGTGACTATCTTTTTCTTACGTGATTCGTGGTCAAGGTTCTGTCTTTGTCTCTCTCTTTCTTTCATTTTCACTTCTGCTTTCTATATCATACTATTTTATTTATTTTTCATTTTCTATTATATAATCTTAGTTTACGTATTGTATTCGTTTAATTAATAATAAAATAAGCGATATGAAAAAATAAGAAATTGCCAAAAACTTTTGCAATTTCTTAAATCACGAAATCATTCTCTTTCTTTGTCGTTCGTAGTACTCGCGATCTTAAGTCATAGGCTATGCAAATTCTAGCCAGAATGACAACTATATCTGTAAATGCGCATATATGTATTGTTTACCTTATTTTAAAAGCAATGACTTTTATTTTTTCGCGTATTTAATTTTGTGCACAGATATGATATGTTAACAACGAATTTAATATTTTATTATTGTATTTATGTATATAATTTTTTTTTATATTTTGTTTAATATAACAGTAGTATTTTTAAAATATTATAAAATTTAATGCTTATTTCATTAATCAATGTTTAAACAAAATCATATTTTTCCATTCTTCTTCTTCAAACATTCATATCATTTTTTGAGATATTTCTATGATGCGAAGTAGCTCGATTGAAAAACATTGTTTTTGTAAAATAATTTTTGAAAAAATGATATATTAGAAAAATTAAGTGAAAGAAGTTGCATAAATTTCGATAATAACAAATGTAAATGATATTTTTGATGATTTATTGATGATGATTTATCTGAATATTGTTATTTTCATGAACGATTGATTTATCTGTGAAAATGGATTTAAAAATGGCCGCCGTATACAATTACTCTGTCGGTATAAAGTTTTGCCAGATTTATAACTCATGTAAAGTAACGGTATTATAGATTTATGATTCTAGTACCGTTGGATCAGTAAATATTTGCATCTGGCTATGTATAATTTAATTATGATAATTTTTTATTATTTTTTATATAGAATAACGTACATGATAACTTTCTTGAACAATTCTTTTATCTAATCTGTTTGAACATTTTTGTTTTATACAATTTTTTATCTTTTTTATATGATGCAATAAATACATGATTTTTATATTTTTAGGCTGTTAGTTGTTTATGTCATACATGTAAGACATATAAAGATCGCCTACATTCTTGTCTTCATTGTATATTCTTTGGCTGCTATGTAAAAGGTCATATACAAGAACATGCAAAGACAAAAAAACATTTTTTAGGTAATTATTAATAAATTGTATGTTGTATAAATTCAACCAAGTAATATATTTAAAAAATATATATTTTTATAATATATATTTTATATTATAGCTGTTGATCTTTGTTATGGAAATATTTTGTGCTTCCAATGTGGAGATTATGTATATGATAGAGAGCTATTAGGAGTTGCTAAAGCACAATGGAGTGAGTCTGCAAAATCATTGAGTTTTGGAGAATTTTACAGAGCATGGGAACCAACACAAATAGAGGCAGAATTATTGAGAAAACATCCGCGCAGAAGACGTGTGGTCGAAAATTCTACCATAGGTAAGATATACAAAAATATATGTGAAATATAACTTATATTATGAATAAAAATTTAACATATGTTAATCTATACATTACATTTATAGGTTTAAGAGGACTTATAAATCTTGGTAGTACATGTTTCATGAACTGCATTGTACAGGCACTCATACACACGCCATTATTAAGAGATTATTTTCTTGCTGATCGTCATCACTGCCCACAGCCAACACGCTGCCTGGTCTGTGAAGTGTCTCATCTTTTTCAGGAATTTTATTCTGGTAGCAAAGCACCACTGACGCTTCACAAGCTTCTCCATTTGATCTGGACACATGCTAGACATTTAGCAGGTTACGAACAACAGGATGCTCATGAATTCTTTATTGCTACACTCGATGTTCTGCATAGGCATTGTGAAGCAGCACCAATCTTAATAAAAGATAATCCACATCACTGTAATTGTATCATTGATCAAATCTTTACTGGTGGACTTCAAAGTGATGTGGTTTGTCAAGCATGCAAGTATGATCAAAATGCATAATATAATATACTATGGTTTGTATTATAAAAGGTATTGATGTAATAATTTTTTAGCGGAGTATCTACGACGATAGATCCATTTTGGGATATATCTTTGGATTTGGGTCCAGCAGCTAGTGCATCAGGTTCCGATAGTTCTGGTCCTCCTACCTCGTTATTAGATTGTTTGGAAAGGTTCACGCGTGCAGAGCATTTGGGATCTAGCGCAAAAATAAAATGTAGTAATTGTCAGACGTATCAAGAAAGCACTAAGCAATTGACAATGAAGCAACTACCTATTGTGGCCAGCTTTCACTTAAAACGATTTGAGCACTCTAGTATACAGGATAAGAAGATTTCTACGTTCATATCGTTTCCAGAACAATTAGACATGACTCCATTTATGTCTCATAGACGAAATGGTAATAATAACAGTGCAATGATAGATGGACTACCAAAGAATGGAGAAGACATGGCATTTAGCGACAATAGATATTCTCTATTTGCGGTAATAAATCACGAAGGTTCTTTGGAGACTGGACACTATACTGCTTTTATACGGCAGCAAAGAGATCAATGGTTTAAATGTGACGATCATTTAATTACAAGAGCAAGATTAAAAGACGTCTTGACTAGCGAAGGGTGAGTTTATGGCATTGATCACAATGCCATCAGTATCATTACCAAGGATCCAGTGAAAAAACCTTTCCTTTTCAGGTATCTTCTTTTTTATCATAAACAAATTTTGGAGTATGGTCGAAATACCAAGGTGTAAAACGTTAGATTGTGTAATTAATTTATTTATCACGATGAATCATGGGTGATAGATTTAAGTTTTCTTTAGTATTTTAAAAAAGAGAACTTTGTAAACAGCTTCCCTTCTGGAAACTGTTTCATATATTTCATCCGACTCATGCGAATTCGCTTGTCGGTAAGCTATGCATAATTTATGCAAGAGGAAATAAGACTAAAGAAATGAAGACCTCAAAAATGGAATTTCAAACTTTCGTTTGAAATAATATCGTTATTAACCGGTTATATGGACAGAGACTTTCCGATAAATTAGAGAAGAGAATTTAATAAATGACTATATTATTATGCTTTGGTCGTATGATTAAAAACAAGAATAAATTAGAAACTAATCACTGTTTAAAAGAATAGTAAAGATCGACCGGATGTCGCTCTGTTAGCATAGATATTTGTCATGATATTAAATGATACTTTTAATTATCGAAAAGTGAAAATGTAAAAGAATTGTCTTCGTTCTCTTATTTTTCATTTTTTGTTTTCACCGTTGTGTTTATTGCGTTTGACGAAATCTAGGCTGGCACATATGGTGATCGATTTCTCTATTCATGTCCTAAAGTAATATAAGTGTAATTTTAAGATTAGCTCAATTTTTTTAAATGACCGATCGCATTTTTGTATATCGCTGACTGTTATTATATTCCTGCCCTGACACTTGTATACATGAGACACCAAGGATGGATCACACGATTCAAAAGTACTTTAATTAATAAGTTCGATCTTTAGTAAAAAAAAAAAACAATTTTATTCACATGATTCGTCGTGTCAATCATCCTTTGGTGATTCAATTTTGTACAAACGAAATAACATATAACAAAAAGAGGGATAATAATATTATCCGTATACAAGGCGAATTATTTCGCGCGACTGTGTATAATAAAAAAACACTGTTTGACAAATTTCTTTTTCTGGTTGCCCATTTTTTTTTTTTTTTTTTAAATAATAAAGTGAAGAAAACTTTAGAACTTAAAAAATTCAAATGAAAAAATTAGAAAGGATTGTAAAGCTTTTAATAATATTATGTTAATTTTCTTTATGGCAATCTCTGCAAAAAGTGCCAAGTGTTTGTGTACACTTGTAGTTCGTAATTTGTGCTGTAATTCTCTATTTTGTGATGGGTTTTTATTATTGTGTTTATTAACGAAATTTTTCGTAATGTTCCAAAAATAAATTAGAACAATCTTTGAAAATACAATAATGTGTAAGAGAGAATGAGTTAAATATATATTTTGTATTGTGTCAATTGATTAATATTTTAATCAAAAATGATTCATTTATATGTACGTAATAAGAATATATAATCTTCTGTTGAATTGTCAAGATCACTAGAAGATTTCAATGTGTAATTACATATAAAGGCAACAAAAAGCTTAATTTTATTTAACAAAGTTCGGAAGAAATTTATCAATTTATCAAATAAGAAAAAACAAAAAATAGACGTCATAAAATTTCATCATTATATGCATTATAATAACTGCACTGGACGTCTATTCTTATCTATCACGACCAATAGTACCATATGTTTGAAAGTTCATATTACATGTGCAGTTGTAACATTTTGTATAAGGCTGAAGTAAATGTATACAAAAATAAAGTTATATTTCGTCGAGAAATTATTTTTAATTAATCCGCTTCTTTACATATTTCGATTAAAATTTCGCTATCGCCTATATCAAATATTGAACATGCAGATAAATTTATCATCTATCATGCAATTCTATCATGATTGCGAAATAATATATATTTATGTTATACGAATTGCAAGATTTATCTTTTATCATAAATCATTTATTGAATTAAAGTTAAAAAAGATTTTTTTAACAAATTTTATTTATATCATGGAAATAATTAAAATTCAAATTTAAATTTTGACCTGCGCATGTAAAATTAAAAAAAATGTGTAAAAATATACGCAAGAAAAAAATAAAAGAATTCAGAGAATAACAGAGAATCAAAAAATATTTGTTAAAATCTCCTTAAGTCAAAATGTTAATTAAAATCTAATATTATAGTCTCTTCAATTAACGTTGTAGTAATGGAGGAAAGATGGACGCCTTGACGTTTGGCTCTCACAGGTAAACGGCCGATCGGTTCACATAAATTTTCAGAAAACTTTCAATTGAGTAAGTGTCGCATCACAGAACTTTATTCTTTCTTTTGTAGGCTAGTTCACTTAGATCTCAAGGGTGCCCCACCGCGAGTCTGTTATTTTGAAAAGGTCTGTTACTAGAATAAACAATCGTATTGTTTACATTCTGTATCTCTTTCTAATAACAGTGTCATTAAATGACAATTGCTATGACACTTCCTCATAGCATGTCAATTGTTATCGATATTGGTTTTTTCATACGATCAATATTTTTTCATTTATGATAAACATTTGCATCCTAAAATATTGCTATGTGCACCTTACAATTTTAGTGTTTGTATATATGTGTATGTGTGTATATATATATATATATATATATATATATATATATATATATATAT